TGTTCATGATGGTGTCAAGAAACAGTTGCTTACATTTTAGAGCTTTAAAATGTAACTGCTTTCATTCATCTGTTTGTTAGAAAAATGAATGCATGCCAATCACACAAACATTTCATTTTGATTTTTTTCAAATTGTTTGTCATCTTAACAGTGCTACTATTATGTGGTAAGCCTTAATAAGACTTAAATATTGCAGTAACATAGATTTCTAACTTTCTTTTATTTGCTTGTATACTGTAGGTTTTGACATTTGCCTATAAGCATGCGTTGGTCAATAAAATGTATGGGAGAGGTCTTAAATTTGCAACTAAACTTGCAGAAGAAAAGCCAACTAAAGAAAATTTGAAAAACTGCATACAGGTAAGAGAAATTCAGTAATTCTGTGTTAAATAGATGGTTCTGAAAAAAACAACTTCTTAAGACACTTGAATTCTTGATGCCTTTAAACTATTAAGTTGGAGAAAATTCATTTAGATTCTGGATCAAGTAGCTGCTGATTGATGTTTGATCTAAAAGTATTCAAATCTGAAATCCTTCCCCGAATTCGATAGAAGTTTGCATCTCAAGTTCTAATTGGGCTTATTGAATTCATTTGCCACCTACTAGCCAGGTAGATTAATCCACTAGCTCAGAGATCTCTAAGAAATTTGGGTGGGAGAATCTGTGAGGTCCTGGGAAAGCATCTGCTAGGATTTTTACCTGGGTACACTTTCTGACTTTTCATAGGAGCTCTTGTCTTCTGTATCGGTCTCTCAGCTCTCCCGTTCAGGTGCTGAAAGGGGGAAAATTGTCGTCTTCACTCGCTCATTCTGAAATAATCACCTTCTGTCAGTTCTTGGACAGGGGCGGTTAACAATTTCACTGCTGCCTCTTCTGAAAGGTTTTCCTAGCAGTAGCATGCAGGTCCTCCTTAAGAGTCAGGTTGCTCCTTCGGAAAAGGGATTAGAATGTCTGATTTCATTCCACTACTTGGCAAAGCTCCTGGGCCTCTGACACGTTACATTTAAGACACTAGTATCCTGTTAGTCATACCCCTAAATAGTAACCTGGTCATGCATTCAAGTCAGTATATGGTGTGATATAAAAGTAAATGAACCACAAAATTATTCCATATATAATGTGCAACACTTCTGTGGCTCATTTGTGCCATGCCTTAAATTGAATGTATGGCAGGTTAGCCCATAGCAGATCCCAATGCTCAGCTCAGTGTCGGGATCTGGCTTGGGGTAGCTCCATGGTCTGGGAGACTGCTCAGCTAGGCTAGGGTAGAACCAGTTCCTGGACCCTGTGCCTTCTCCCAACCCAGCTGGCTTGCACATGATTTTCCAACACCGTTGTCCAGGGAACCTTAAATCAAGGCATCTCTTCCTAATCCTGAGCTGTCCTGTTCAGGTGTACTATGGATGGCAAAAAACCACATGTGCAGCCCAGCTTTTAAAGGTGTCAGTCAGCGTGATGGAGCCACAGGATTGGGGAGAGGTTCCCGGATCCTGGAGACCTGTTTAAACCATGTGCACGAACCATCTGAGCTGCACACCCAGTTTTTCCTCATCTGGGTGTACAAGGGGCCTGGGATTAGGTTATGGCAGCCTAGTACCACATGTAGCAGCACAATGAATCCCACAAAATCTGGCAACACCAACACTACAAGCAGTGGCCTGTGCAGAATATTGGAAACAGACCGTATAGAAAGGTTGGATTGGAGACTCAATGAAGAAGAATGACAGCCTAAATCTGGGATCACCAGGCTCTAGACTTGTAGAAATCAAGTATGCAACTCAAGTCCCAGATTTCACAGTCAGCTGCTTGTTGGGCACCCTGCTTTCAACTTGCTGGTTCTCTGTGCGCTGGCAGGTAAATCACGATTGGGATCTAATCCCTGATCCCAAAATTGTACACCCTGCCTGGCATGTGTGGCATGACAAGAAGTGAATTTTTTGGGATCAGGTTCAGATCCCATCACACCTTTAACTGAATGTCTGCCAGTGACCTTAGAGGCAGAAATTGTTAGAGTTACACATTACAAGTTACAGGTGTTCACTGTCTTAAGAAGTCAGGCAGCTTTGAATTTAGATTCCTAAATAAGTATTTCTGCGCCTAGTTATGGCTAGTACATACAATATTTTTCTCTCAATTTTAAGAAATGGGATTCATGTTTTAAGTCTGTGGTGCTCAACCAGATGAGCCACATGAGAGCTGCAGGGCTCATCTGTGGACTGGATTGGGCCCTGCACCCCACTGCATGCCAAGTGCAGCATGCTGAGCTACACTGTGTGGCCTATCAGGCTCCCCACAGGCTTAGAAATTTGACAGCAGTAGAGCACTGCCCCCCAATTTTCAGACCTATGGGGAATACTATTGGCCAAATCTGACCTACAGGCTAGGGGCTGAGCATTCCTGTTTTAAGCAATTTGTGCCATTTCCCGCTATCTGTAGATTAGCTTGTAATAAACTGCTGTTCAGAAACACAGCAAGCTCACATGTAAATTTAAAAAACGATTCTTTAAATCTGCATGTGAACTCAGTATAATTAACATTGAAAAACTTATGGCCCTGATATTACACTTAGGGCCTGTTAATCATGCCATAAATACACACACCCAGGGAATTATTAGCATGACAAAAGAAATCAGCCACAAATGTTCCACAAATATGTGGAACATTTTTGTGGCTGCTTTCCATTGTTCCTTAAATTGTACCCAGGGCAGGTAGGCCCTCTGGCCCTGGGAGCCCATCAGCTGATGGGCTCCGTCATGTTAGCAGCCTGACAGCCCTATGGTGCATCCCTGCATGGGTCTGCACCACTGTTTTCAGCATGCTGAACATCAGCTGGGCAAGGGTGCTGAGTTGTAGCAAGCCGCAGGGCTCCCTGCAATTTAGTGTGGTGCGTGCCTTGCCCCACAACTCCTGTGTTCTGCTGTGCGTCTCTCAGGAGCTGCAGGGCAAGGTGAGCACTGTGCTGGGTTGGGGTGAGCCATGGGGTTCACTGCAACCTAGCATCTGAATGTGCCTTGCTTTCCAGGGTCAGACAGCCAAACAGCCAGGCTTGCCTGTGCCCAGTTGGGCAACTGGGCTTGGTAGTGGGGAGGGGAACAAACTCCCTAGGGAGGAGGGAGGTACCCTAGGCTCACCTGGGTGGGAACCTTCCTAACTCCCAACTGAGTTTCAAGGTTCCCTTTCAGATAATGGTGCAATTGAGATCAGTCCCCAGTCTCAACAGTCATGTATCGTGCCATGCATGTGTGGCTTGGCAGAGTGCATAATGGTTGGGATCAGGGATCAGATCCATCATGCCATTATTTTAACGTCTCAGTGGCCTTAGAAAATATATGCTCAAGGAACTTTGGAGTCCTTGGTAGTTTATACCAATTCTGTTTCTATTCCTGTAAACAGGAAATTAAACCCAGAGTTCATTTGGACAGCAGTAAACCTGGTATTGTTTTGTGCCCCAAATGTAAAACAGACTTTCAAGCATTCTGTATTATACATTTCAGTGATTCTGTCTGTCCTTAGACCAGCATGGCTACAACCAACAACCCTTTCAGTGATTCTGAAACTTCATGTAAAAGTTTTGCACTTCTGATAGTGGTTCCCTTTGACAATATGTTACCGTTGGTCCATTTTCTAGTTTAAAGAGTTGAATTAGAAAAAAATGAAATGGGAATAAATGACAAAGTGAGGAAAGAATCCTAATTTTTCTGCTGGGTATTTTTTTTTTTTTTTTAGCTAATGAAGCTACTTGGATGGACCCATTGTGCATCTTTTACTGAAAACTGGCTTCCTGTCATGTATCCACCTGATTATTGTGTGTTCTGAAATACTAATTGTTGTAAACATAAGAAATGATTTTATATAGACAGAATATAGAAAGATGAGTTTGTTATTAGAACGCATGTTTTCATTCATTACTGAATGCTGATTATTAAATTGTGTGTCTGTCAGTAAAGGCACCCCGGTGTGGCTTAATACCTGTTAACCAGACTTCTGACATCAGGGAGTTTCCTTTGCGTGCATCCTATTGCTGGCAATGGATGTACTAGAAGTGCCAGCACCAAGGATTTGGAAAATGATTGGAAAAGGCTTTTTTGCATGCATGTTAAATTCTTAACAGTTAATTTTAACTGCAAACCTGTAAAAGTTCTGTATTTTTTACAGTGGACAGGGTTTTAACATGTTTAATCTTAATTTCATTTTCATTTTATGAAGGCCTTAAAGCTACATCAAGAGTAGCTAAATTTTTATTTATTAGATAAAAATAACAAAACATCATTAACTGGTATTGTTTATAAAAGTTTACATTTGATTTTTTTTTAAAAAAAAAACCTTTCAAACTGTCACAATGTTTATCTCAGAATTGCTGATGCAGAGGTGCTCTTGTAAATCTTCATCTTGGAGTAATTTCAGGCAAACTTTCAAAAATCCATATGAAGTTGAATATCTGGATGGACTGATAATTGTATAAAAGTGCCAGACAGTTAAATCTTAATCAGGTATTGTAAAGCTATACATATATGTTTAATAATGTTACAAATGTAAAACACAGCAGAATAAATGTGCAGAATTGAAGATCAAAAAACACCATGTGCACTCTGATGCTTTAAAGGAATTTTTATAATTAATAAAAATAAATGACAACGCTGAAAATTGTCTTGGTTTCTCCAAGAGTACATAAATGAAACTTGTGAGAGAACAGCTTTGAAAACAATATAGAAATATGCAATCATTAAAAAATGTAGCCATATCTAATAGTTCATACAAAGTTTTAGAGTAAATTTCTGATTGCGGTGTGTTACTAACCACTGCTAAAGTGAAGTTAATCTGTTTGAGTAGATGATGCATATACATTTATGAGATAAATCGGATGTTGAGTTCTATCCTGACACTTTTGTTATACAACCTGACTTTTTTTCACATATATTGCAATGCAAAATACAGAACTATGGGTTTAAGTATTAATACACAGCTAAGACTGTTCTAAACCTTGAAGTGCTACTGTTGAATCAATGCTGTTATTCCCTTCATTGTTTCCTCTCTAATTCTCTCTTGCTGTAACTTTAAACAGCTTGATGGTTGATTCTGGAAATTCTGCTAGTAGTTTTACATTGAAAATATCGCTAACCTTTTCCAAAAATTCATAATCAGCTCTGAATCTGAATTTGTTTGCCCATAATAACACGGTCCCTGGCTGACAAAAATATACCATTGTTGTAAGCAGTGGCTCCAGAGCTGCATGGTGATAAACAACATCACTTGCCAAAATCAAATCATAATGGTAAGTTGATCTAGGAAAATCTTCATTGAGGTCTTCTCCCCACACCAGTTTTCTCACTTCAGGCTTGTGTACATTCAAGTTTTGTGTATTTTTTGAAATATTAAAATTGAGATTTTCAAGAACTTCAGGCAAATCAGTAGCTGTAACATAGGCTCCTAAAGAGAATATGAAAATCTTCAGTGCATGTGTGCTTGTGTACGTATTCTTTTAACCCCCTATAACCTTCCCTTAATTTACATTGATTGGCCATCAGTCACTCAGCTGACAATCTCCCCCACAGTCCCCACAATGGGGGACATACTCCTTAAAGGACTTTCCTTAAAAGTATTTGCAGTGACAGTGGTTAAACCATAGCATCATAGAACTGACTTAGCCACCAACTCACGTGGGAAATATATTGAACTGATCAGAATTTACTAACCTAGTATACTGGCCACAATGGAAACCAGGCCTGTTCCAGCACCAATTTCAAGAACTTTTTTGTCTCTGAGGTTGATCTCGTGTTGATGTGATTCCAGGTATTGAGATAAAGCCAATGCCTAAAGATAGTTAACACCCATAAAATACATTAATTAGTTAATAACTGCACAGTAGTTCATTAAACAATTAAAAATATTTTTGTTAAGTTTTCAACTGATCTACTATTAAACATACTCAGTTCAATATCAGAAAATCAGACCAAGAAAAAAGGAAGATGAGATCTGTTTTTGAAACAAGATTAGAATTAGACAAATGAAGAAATAAACCTGTCTCCCCCCCCCCCCCCCCCCCAAAAAAATAACAAAAACAAAAACTTAACCTCCACCAAAAGGAAAGCTGTTTCCCTTTAAAATATACAGGTCTTTTTTGCCTTCATTTAACTTCTAAGTAACCTTAGAACTGAACGCAGTCAGCCTGGGCAAGGAGAGTTTACTTTCTAAGTACAAAAGCAACATTAAAGATAAATTGTTTTTTGTTTTGAAGGTAAAACGAGGCTTTGAGTTGCAAAAAAAGATTTAAGAAAAATTCTAATAGGCAATCTAATGTGCTGCAGAGGAACATTATGAAACTGACTCCTCTATAGAGATTCTGATCTAAACTTGACCTCCATCAATCAGAGAGGGTGAACCTAGTTAGATAATTTGTGCTGCGGTACAGGAGGAAGGGCAGTAACCTATGACACCTTTTCAGTTCAGTATTCAAGAATTGCTTTCTTAGCAGTCTCAGGAGATGCTAAAATCTAGATCTGCAAGACCAAACAGTACCTTTTAGACCATCTATCTGGGCCCATGTTAAATTTCTAACTAGGATTATCCCCTGCACTGTGTGCGCATCATCTAGATTGTCTTGGGAGTTCTCATCCACGTATGGATATCTGATTTATTATGAGATCCAACAAGGTTCAGTTCATGAGGTTGAAGGCACATACTTTTCTTTTTTTTTATACTGTTTTGAGACGAAACCTGACACTTCCTGTGATCTGTCACGATCACTAGACAGATCAGATTCCTGAAGAGAATGCCAATTCTTGTCCGTCTTCACTGTAAATTGAGTAAACGAGTTTGAAATGTTTATCATTTCTCCATCAGTTCTGAACCTCCCCCCTCCCCATGAAGGCTGCTTTCCAAAGTCCAGTACTGTCATTATTGATGAGCTCTGTTTATTATAAACCCATATTTCAACAACATTCCAAGTGGCAGAAACATGTTTTTATATAATTGATGCAACAAATTGACTAATACTACAGTGAACATCCTCTTTTTAATTCACCATTTTCCCAGTCTTATGGAGAATTGTTATGATGAGGTTGTACTGTACTTTTTAAAATCTAAGAGTAAGAGAAGCCAAGGGCCAAGCATGGCTTCTGCAAGTACAGTCTTTAAAAATACTAAATCTGTACATCTCTTCCCATACTTTCAGTTCTGAAGAGAAATCTAAAGATGATTTTCCATTAACTTCTTAAGTTAAATTGCTAAATTTAAATTTCTTTATTTAACTTCAGAGATCACTATCCGGTTCAGATAGGAAAGATTGCCTAGGAGTTGGTACCCAGAATCAAATGAGCAAGATCAAGTCCCTACAAGACGGCCAGTTTGTATTTAGCAAATGAGGGCAAGTAACACCACCTTTCTCTCTCGCACAGAAAACAATGAAAATACAGACCCAAAAATAATCACATCCCCAGTCTCCAATAACTGAAGTATATCCAAGGTGTCTATTAGCAGATAAAAGAGTGTTCTTTTCATAGCAAATTTTCCTATAGTCCCATCGAGGGAGGAATTAGTGGGGCATAGGGTAGTGCAGGAGTTGTCAACCAGGCGTATGCATACCCCTAGGGGTACTTGGAAAGGTCCTAGAGGGTATGTGGGAATGGGTGGGGATGGAGAACTGCCACCCACCACCCCACACTGCCACCGCCTCCCAGGAGCAGGGCTGGAGGGAGGGAAGCAAGGGCAGTGGTGCCCCTCTGCGGCCTGCATAGGTGCCACCTGGCCAGCCAGACACAGGGAGGGCAGGGGGGAGCTCACACGTGGCGGCTGCCACTGCCATCCATCACCCCACACCACCACAGACTTCAGTTCCCTTAGGGAACTTGTGGGCAGGATCCCCTGAGAGGAGTCCAGGAATGTTAGCTATACTTTTAAAAAAACCTTATTGAGGGCACAGGAACCTTATTGAGGCATATCCCAATGTGCAGGAAGACTAGTGAGTACAGCAGAAGACCAGCTTAGTTTATCAGGGATCTCTTCAGTAAGCTAAATCACAAAAAAGAAGCTTATAAGGGGTGGAAATTTGGGCAAACAATTAGGGAGGACTATAAGAGTATTGCTTGGGCATGCAGGAAGTCAGGAAAACCAAAGCACAACTGGAGTTGAAGATAACAAGGGACGTAAAGGGTAACAAGAAGCGTTTCTACAAGTACATCAGCAACGAGGATCAGGGAGAGTGTGGGTCCTTTAATTAAATGGGGGCAGCAACCTAGTAACAGAAAAGGCTGAAGTACTTAGTGCCTTTTTCACCTCAACCTTGACAGGCAAGGTCAGCTTTCAGACTACTGCACCTGGCAGCACAATTTGGGGAGGAGGTAGGTGAGCAGCCAACAGTGGCAAACGGAACAGGTTAGGGACTATTTAGAAAAACTAGATGTGTATAAGTCCATGGGAACGGACAGGATGCATGTGAGGGTGCTGAAGGACTTGGCTAGTGTGATTGCAAAGCTATTGGCTATCATCTTTGAAAGCTCATGGCAATCAGGAGAGGTCCTGGATGATTGGAAAAGGGCAAACAGTGCCCATCTTTAAGAAAGGGAAGAAGGAGGATCCAGGGAACTAAGACTGGTTAACCTTGCCTCAGTCCCTGGAAAAAATTATGGAGCTGGTCCTCAAGGAATCCATTTCTAAGCACTTGGAGGAGAAAACGGTGATTAGAAACAGTCAGAGTGGATTCACTAAGGACAAGTCATGCCTGACCAACCTTATTGCTTTCTATGATATGACTGGCTCTGTGGATATCAGGAGAACAGTGAACATGATACACCTTGACTATAGCAGGGCTTTTGATATGGTCTCCCACAACGTTCTCACAAGCAAGCTAAGGAAGTATGGGTTAGATGAATTGATTGAAGTGGATAAAAAGCTGACTGGATCATTGGGCTCAGAAGGTGGTAGTCAGTGATTTGATGTCTAGTTGGCAGCTGGTATCAAGTTTTGTTCAATGTTTTCATCAATGGCCTGGAAGATGGCATAGTGTGCACCCTCAGCAAGTTTGTGGATGACACCAAGCTGGTAGGAGTAATAGATATGCTGGGGGGTAGGGCTAGGATTCAGAAACATTGATAAATTGGAGGATTGGACCAAAAGAAATCGCATGAGGTTCAATAAGTATAAGTGTAAAGTCCTGTACTTAAGATGGAACAAACCCATGCACTGGTACAGACTGGGGACTGACTGGCTAAGCAGCAGCTCTGCACAAAATGACTTCAGGATTACAGGAGACAGCGAGCTGAATATGAGCCAACAGTGTGTCCATGTTGCGGAGAAAGCTAATGGCATATGGGGCAGCATTAGTAGAAGAGTTGCCAGCAGATCAAGGAAAGTAATTGTTCCCCTCTATTCGGCACAGGTGAGGCCACATCTGGAATACTGTGTCCAATTGGGCACCCCACTACAGAAAAGATGTGGACAAAAAGTAAGAGTCCAGCAGGGGGCAACAAAAATGGTTAGAGGGTTGGAACACATGCTTTCTGGGGAGGTGCTGAGGGAACTGGGCTTATTTAGTCTGGAAAAAAGGGGGGATTTAATGGCAGTCTTCAGCTACTTGAAGGGTGGTTTCAAAGAGGACTGTTCTCAGTAGTGGCAGACAACAGAACACACAGAGCAATGGTCTCAAGTTGCAGCAAGGGAAGTTTAGATTAGATACTTGGAAAAACGTTCTCAATAGGAGGGTAGTAAAGTACTAGAACAGGTTACCCAAAGAGGTGGTAGACTCTCCATCCCTGGAGGCTTTTAAGACCCACCTAAACAAAGCGCTGGCTGTGATGATCTAATTTGGGGATTGTCCTGCCTTAAGCAGGCGGTTGGACTAGAATTGGCAGCGTTTGTCAACCCATGAGTTGCGACCTGAAAGTGGGTTGCAAGAATATATGAAAGGGTCGCAAACAAACTTTCAAAATATATCATCAAACTTCAGAAAGTTTTCTCCTTTGAAAGAGAAAAACATGGTAAATGATGGCCTTTCCCTTGCTGGCTGGCAGAGTTCCAGCCTGCGAGGGCCTGCTTGAGGCCCCTGTGCCCCACACACTGGGGGGCTGGGGGTGAGGAGCAGCGGGCCAGGAGTGAGGGGCACTGGCTTGGGACTGGCTATTGATGTTTACAAATGGATCCTGGTACAAAAAAGGCTGAGAACCACTGGACAAGATGACCTGAGGTTCTTTCCAACCCTAATTTTCTATGATTCTATGATCACTAGTTTTCCTACTTTCAAACTGAAATGGATGACTATGTTGTTTGTTAGAGTTTCCTCTCTACTGTAGTCAAACTGCATTTCTGCCCTCACTTGTAATAATGGGAACAGTTCTGAAAAAGGAACAGACAAAAAGGTAATTCTAAGTTCTCATAACTCATTAAAGACTAAGGAATTTGTTTTTTTGGCTACATCTATTGATTTGAATCTACTCACTATTGTGTATCCAGGTCCCAGAAGAGAGGCCGGCTGTGGTCAATGGAAAATCCTAACCAATGAAAGTTTTCTTTTTCCTAAGGCTTCATTTTGATGCTTTTATAGTTCTAAATTATTTATCTTTAGGGCACGTGCCATGATCCAGAAGAAAATATCTGTTAACGTATGGTTAGATTACTGAGCCAGCCCTAGTATCCCACGAAGATTGCTTTTTTCCTCAAGATGCCTTTGAAGGATCAACACAGAAGTGTCAAATTCATATACAGTTCACATGTGCACTAACTCCTTCCTTGCATCTTACTTCCGTTTTGGCAGATTCCTAGAGGTGTCCTAGATAGCTGAGCTTGAATTTTATATTCCCACTGTGCCTCTGTAAGCTTTTATCCCTTACTTAACTTAGTAAGTGCTTGCTTCATGACTAGTGCAACTTGCAGTAGCTGTAGCAAAAGTTAGAGCTGTCTTTCTTGCAGAAACTCCTTTGAAATTTACTATGACAAAGTACAGATGCCACTATCTCCGTATATGAGAAACTGTTCACAATTTCCTAAGAATCTGGCAGGCTTTTCCAATCCTAAATGCAGTACCTAAGAGGAAATATGCCATAGAATAAACCCTGGAGATTTTCTGTCAAATGAACTGAGCAGGGTAGAAAGTTATTTTTTTCAGCAGTTCACTGCCTTCCAGTAAAATTGTAAAGGAGCTAAGTTCTCTGAGTCACATCCTAATGTGGTGGATGAAACGCTGCAGGCAGGGATCACAGACAGTACAATTTGAAATAGTAACTTGGGAGCACCTGTGTCATCCTGCTGCTATTATTGGGGTGAGGGGAGAGGAGCGGTAGGGCCACAGCTAGAGGCAAGATCTGTAAATCAGTTTGAGGTGAAGTTGCTATATTCTGTTCTTTTAAGGTTTCTTTGAAATATGAATGCTTTATGTCTAGATTTTACAAAACATTTTTGTTTCTCTAGTCTCCTTTGTTTTGCCGATTGCTTATTTCTCCACAGTGAGTAACTTCCTGAAGACAAGAGAGGACTGAATGCTACTTACAAGCTGTTTTTTTTTTTTCTTTGTTTAAGGATCTGCACCTAGAAATGTCTGTAGTCAACCAATGGCAGCAGTTATTCTCTGCAGTAGTCTACAGGGAGAGGGGTAGAGATTTAAAAAGGATTTACAGTTTGTTCATTTGTCATTCCTGGCACAAAATGCCAAGTGGGTGAGGCACCATTCAGCGCTCCTTGCCAAAACACTTCTTGCTGCTACCATTCTGCCTTGGGATGAAAGCCTCAATAGTGACATGAATCAAAACATTGTCACATTACTTCACTCCTGGCATCACAATGGCTTGCATTTTGTTTTACAGCAAGTTTAACTACCTGGCCGCTTTATAATAGTAGAAAAGTAAAAACTTACACCAGGCCAAACTATAGCTCCAAAGTAGTCTATTGATTCTTGAATAGTGATCTGCTGGCCTACGTAACAGTAATGCTCTTTATCGAAATAGGGGGATATTGTAGGAGCCCACTTCTGAAGTATTTTAAGGGTTATTGGCGAATCTGTGGGAGAAAAGATCAAATTAGTGTTAGCTGGTGCTCAGAAGTGCATACATACACATTGTGATGGTGAAAGGAAATTTGCCGGCAGTCACGGGGTATGCAGGCTGGCTGGGAAAAATGCTTGTGTTCTTGGTCTCAGGAGGGAGCTGAATAACAGCAACCCACAGTTCACAGTTACAGTGGAGTCGCATCATACGCGCATTTAACTTGCACGAATTCAACTGTCCGCGGGGTGGGAGGGGAGGCGGGGGCTTGAGTTTGCACGCGGCGCAGCTGCTTACCTGGAGGCCCATTATGGCCATGATGGCCACTGCCTCCAAAACCTCCCGCTGTCACCACAGAGCTGTGCCAGGAGCTGTGTGGCTGGCCGCCAGACGTGGTGGCAGCCAGGCGGCACGCAGCCATCCCCGCCACCACCCCGTGCTGCGTCGCTGCCGCCGGCCACACAGCTGTAAGCACGGCTCTGCAGCGGCAGCGGGAGGTTTTGGAGACAGAGGCAGTCACTGCTGGGATGGTAATTTTGACTACGTGACTTTCGCCTTATGCGCTGACTTTAGAACCTAACCCCTGCTTAAGATGCGACTCCACTGTAATTTGGGTTGCCAGACTTTGGGTGCCTGTACACGAGCCAGGAGGCTGTTTGACATGCTCTGGTTATAGAACTTTTCGCCAGACTCATTTAATCCAGTCTGCTGGAACATGGTAGTTACCATGCTCCAGCCAACCTCCGCGTCTCGTGTACCAGCATCCGTACACTTCAAAATGGTGGCAGGGATGCTTTAACTAAAGCTTGTTCAATGAGCTTTAGCTAAAGCCCCCCACCGCCATTTTGAAGTGCAGGGACACTGATATATGAGATACTCCAGGTGCTTTAATTTGAGTGGCTCTCAGAGCTGCTCTAATTAAAGCAGCCCTCCCTCCCCCTACCTGAGCATTTGTAAAAAGGGTAGTCCCTAGTGTATGGGTAGTGGTGGCAGTGTGGAATCTACTTTCCCACCAGTCGTGGAGTGACAATTTGCTTGGTGGGGAATTTGAGCTTCTCTTTTGACATAACAATTGATTGCCTTATGAAGACTTTGGCACCCTAGGACATGGGTTGCAAATCCTCAAGACTTCTGGGTTGCTTATTTAATTCGATTCGGATTCAGCCCAATTCAGGGACAGTGATTCAATTCATTGATTTGGATCACTGTCCCCGATTCAATTCGGCCGAATCCAGATCTGAAGATTCGATGCTGATTCAGAGATAGAGACAGCTTTAAAAGTTTTTTCTACAAACCTTGAGGTAGCAGGGTAGCTCATGATCGCTGCAATGCTGGGGCACATGGAGCATCCCACAGGAGTTGGTGGGGACTCTCCACGTGTTCAGCGGCAAACCCGGAAGTGGACTGGAAGTACTTCGGGTCCATTTCCGCCCCCCCCCCCCCCAGCCCCTCCTGGCTCGGCAATCAGCTGCAGGGGAACCCCAGATGCCCCCTCCCCAAGCCCAGGAGGCACCAGTCACTGAGCTGGGAGGGGTGGGGGGAGGCATGCTCCCTGGCGGACCCAGAAGTGGACCAGAACTGCTTCTGGTCCACTTCCAGGTATGCTGCCGAGTGCACTGGGGAGTCCCCCATGCTTCTGTGGGACACTCCATGCACCCCAGCATCGCAGCGATCTCAAAGCTGTGCCTGCTACCTCAAGGTATGTAGAAAAAACTTTTAAAGCTGTCTCTAGGTCCAAATCTCTGAATCTCTCCGAATCGATTCAGAAGGTTCTGATTCAATTTGGAGAGATTAAAGGGTCCTCTGATTCGATTCGGATTCGTAGATTTGGCCACCAAATTGGGCCAAATCTCCACCAAATTGAATCAGTGACCAAAGCTTCACACAACCCTATTAGCTCAATGTAGAATAGCTGTAGATGGCAGATGGATTACCCTGTTATATGGTATCCTTTCCCAAGTATTAAACATGATATTCTTTATCTCTGATAATGGCAAAGGACAGCAAGAGCAAGGTCTGAAACTTAAACCTGTGTTAGTCTTGTTAAAAATAGAAAACATGAGAGCAGGATGTTCCTTTCTATCCAAGGCAAGTGTCTTGACCAGAGTTTGGCGCTCTTATTGTGTATTTTGGCCGGACTTTCATACAGTAGGGTTTTTCATTTAACACTACTATAAAACAGGGAAAAATACATGCTCCTGCTTTCCATCCACCAGGTCATATGTTGACGTTTGAACTTCAGATCTAGATTTTTGAAGTGGGAATAAAGGATAAAGAGCAATCTGGTGCTAGGCTGTAGGTCAGATTTCCAAAGGTGCTCAGACCTGACCACTCTCATTGTTCGAAGTGGAAAATACAGCCTCTTCGTTCAGGGTGATGACTACTCTGTCATCAGAGATATGACTGCAGCATCTGTGGGTATAACTGAGCTTTGATTTCATTAACTTGGGGACAAGCCATAGTTTAACTGTAGCAGCAGGGACTTACATACATGCTGTACAAGTCTGGGTGAGTGCATGGTGTTTACTCGGGCAGATAGCCTGGACAGAAATTTGTGCTGCTGCAGCTATCCTGCTGTTGATACCTGAGCTAGCCAAGCTGATATTCACTCAGGTATGCCCATCTCTGATTGACTGCAGTGTAGACCTACTCCCCTGTGTCCAACTAACATCAGAGGTCTTTTGAAAATGTGCCTCAAATGAGCACGCTGAGTTTTTCTGTAAATCTGGTTTTGTAAGAAAAATGTCAAACGAGCATAATACAAAAAAGTATAAGTGGAATATTGGAGTTGCTTTTTGCATTTGTGTATCTGGGATAATTCAGTGTTCTGCATGTTGTTAACATACCATAGAGTGTGTGTGTGTGTGTGTGTTTATATGTAAGTAGCAACCTGAGTTGGATTCTGATGCTGTTGTCAAACAATCAGAGCAGTTTGAGCAGCGTTCAGGTTCACACTGGTTTTCACAGAGCTCCTTCTCCCTTTGGCACTCCATTCTTTGCCTTTCATTGAGGTGTGGCAGGTGTGGTGCAGAAATCATGGCAGGAATCCTGGAAAGGGAAAAAAAATGACAGAAGTTCTGAAAGACACAGACCTCTCCATGGCTACTATTAGTCCTACTGCTGCTGCTTCACCTTCTTTCACCAAGTACCCTTCAGATTATCTGTATGGCTCTTGGTTTTTGGCCAACACCTGAATTAAAACCTGAAATCCAACAGATTGATGAATCTCTTCCAATGTACTACAGAAAGAACTGAGGCAGCTGAATACAATAAACCAAGAGATGCGCTAACATCTTTTTCCTGTGAAAAACTGTAAAAGTTCTCACCCAAAGGGCAGAGGCATGGCTTCTGTTTAAACCCTTGGGCAACAGCACGCATCCTACGTGGTACATTTTGGCAATACTTTTATAGTGATTTGGAATTGTTTATCGAAGGTTTCCTCAGAAGTTCCTCATCCAGCTGTTAACTGGGTCTGGCCTTGCACCACTTAGTGAGAAGGGAGAGGATTGCAAATGCACTATGATTGTATTACTGCTGATTAGAATCCCTCTCTCTTCTGTGCCTCTATGCATACATGCACATTCATAGCATCCTGTGTCTGAGTATCCTGCCTCTCAATAGTGAGAAAAGACAGACTACTGCTGGTCCCTATTTTAGAAAAATATATCAGACAAGTGTAAAAGTTTTCAAAAAATTGCTTTCTGCCCATCCAGAACGGGAATAATAAAAGTAATAGTCTTTGCATTCATCCCTCCTGAAATAAGAGTAATTGCATCTTATGCGTGAGTGAGTCTGGGT